TTTTCTCCTTACCAACAGTTCAAGAGAATGTTGAATCGGGAACTGACACATCTTTCAGAAATGAGCCGATCAGGGAATCAAGTTTCTGAATATATTTCAAACACCTTCCTAGGTAAGCATGAATACGAATTTAGCAATCGTGGCTAGTGACTGTAGCATTCTTCCATAGGAATTGCAGTCTACCCTTTCTGATCCCAGCCTAGTCTGCCATTCAACAATCCACTTAAAAAATGTTGTTGAACTTGAGTGAACAATCTCCAATGTCCTGAAATGAACTGTGTTCAGGAAAATGAGAAAACCCTCGAACCAAATTACATAAGTTGCCATAAAATCGTAAATGTAGCAATACTTTATAGGTTGCCATAAAATCAACACAGCTCAGGAGTTAATCCTTATCATGCTTACACATATGACAGAATGAAATGGGTCAAGACCCAGGCAATACATAAAGCACAGATATATGGGAGAGTATTTTTTTAATTATTTTGATAGTTCTAATATATAAATATATATAGATATACATACCACCTTTGAACAGAAGAAAATGTGATAAGTAACACTTAGGAATATAGGACCATACAGTTGATGGAGATGATGGAAAATTTTGCAGGCTGTTGCTTAGCAACCATACATGCTTTCCATAGCTCAGAAAGCAGTAAGGAGGAGCTTGGAGTTATTCATTTTAGCTGGATATGAAGCTGAAAGTGACAGTCACCACAACCTATTTCATCTGGTTTCCACTGCTAGACCTGATTCAAACAAAAATCCATCAGTGATCCCTTTCTTGGCCAACCAAAATGCACAAAATACTTGTTGCAGGCTTTCGAAGCTCCATGGGTTTCTTCATCAGGCAAGATACTGCAAACCAAACAGGAGAAAAACAATTGGAGATGTTAGTCAGATGCCTACATGTTGTTTCAGTTTTTAGTTAAGGTGGTATATGGTGGGAGGATATCTTTTGCATGCAGGATCCTCCTCCCTCTGGCCCTGTGGCTATAGGGAGATTTGCAAAGTCCAGAAAATTTAAAATCCATTTGCATCGCAACAGGGAACCCTCTTTTGCTATCCAGTATGTCTCCATTCCAGTGAGGACACAGGCCTTTTTGTGGCAGAGAACAATGGATTCCTCAAGAAGTCTCCATGTTTTTGCCTCAGGAATATTTTGGTGGATGTAGAGGTAAAACATGTGAATTCAATCCAAATTTAAGAAGAAAAAAAATGTTTTACCTTGGTTCAGGTTCCCAGTCCACAGGCTATTCTTCCTGGGCCTAGTCCTGCTTACACCATATTTGGTTTGAATGCTGTCATTCCTTTTCTTATATGGTGGCATTTTAATTGTGTTATTTAATTTAATTTTCTTGTGTTATTTAAAGAACATATAACAGTGGTGAAGAATTTCAACCATAATATTCTTCCTGAAACCAATAACCCCTTCCCTAGAAACAAAATCTTCCAATCCATTCAAACATGCTCTGCTAGAGTACTGATTTTGTAGTTATCAGTAGAGATTGTACTCTTTTGGTAATTTAAATGCCTTCATAAACAGATGCAACTATTAATACTTTTGTCTAAATTCATTAACATCCAAAAACATAAGTATAGTCTCTTCATCTCTCAAACTCTGGGCTGACAATAGTTACCGAAAATGCACCAATGTATTATATCAGAATTGGTCCCAACTGTTTTCTTGCTGTCCAAAAGTGTGATTCTGACATGTGGTGTATAGAACTGGCATGCAGCCTCTAGGAAAGTTTTCATCATGGAAGGTGTTTTTTTGGGGGGGGGGCTTGTAGTCTTCTTTTGGTATGTAAGAGTGAATTTGTGTGAGAAATCAGATGTTCCAATAAATTCAGTAAAATTTACTCCCAAATATGCACCCCAAAATATGAGGAGAGTGCCCTCAATATCTGCTGTTTAGATATATAGCACACTAAAAAAGTATAGTAAAAGAGCATTACTCTTTTATATTTATATAGCATGGTAAAAGAGTATGGATCTCATCTTCACCACTGCATCTTAATGAAAACCTGTGAGATTTGTTAGGTTGATTCTTCCCATATATATCATGGCAATTGTCACGCAGAGGGGTGGGCTATAAATAAAAATTATTATTATTATTATTGAGGATGTGAACTTGGGTCTCCCAGGTGAAAGTCTTACTATTGCAGCACATTGGCAAGTATAGTTTTTGCAAAATGGTCACTGTATGTAAACAAATTCAGGAGGTGTGATGTTTGATCATATAGAGATACAATTTACAGAAGAGTAGCATGGTTATTTTGGTCTGAAACAGAGCTGGGCAAAGTGTGGCCCATGGGCTGCATGTGGCCCCGTAGGGCCATTTTTGTTACCCCAGGTCCCCACCCCTGAGGATTTAAAAAACTCCTCTAAAATGCCCCAAATGACTATTGAGGAGTGGAGAGCACTTCCACCACATTTGAAGCCCATCCAGGACCCCTCCCAGGTGTCAAAACAAATTTTTGCAAAATTTTTCAAAAAATCTTTTTTTTAACCTAAAAATAATCCCAAAAGCCCTCTGGGTGAGAGTGCCACAGTGTCCCCTGTGGGAGGATTTGGGGATATTAAATAGATCTTTTTGTGGGAGTGGTTGAAGTGGGAGAATGGGTATGATGGAAGTAACAGCCCTCCACATTTTCGGGGGCGAGGGGCGACTGATGTGGCCCCCTATCCTTCCACAATTGCCCACTTCTAATCTAAAACCCTCCAACATGCCTCATATTCTTAAACCAATTTAAAACTGAGCTTCAAAACATTGCCAGACACGCTGGTTCCAAACAGTCAGACACGCATTCTAGACTTTAGGAAAGCTGATTTTACTAAACCT